GCAAAGGTGGGCTGTAGCTCTGTTTGTGGCTGCTGCTGCTGCTGTTGTTGTTGTTGTCGTAGCATCGTTGCAAGACTTTTATAAAAACGATCTAGCTTCGATTAATGATCTTGCTGATGTTGTGTCTCTTTGTTGCTGATGTTGTCGTTGTTGCCTCGAAACCTATATCGGCTGGTGCTCGCTTTCAAGTGCTCCGCGGACAATCGTTTTTATCTTCGTATTGCTTTGTCGTCTCAATACATTGGCTGATTGATCGATCAGACGCCATCTTCGTCGTCATTCAATCAACCTAACCAATGATCACATCGAACGACATGATTAACTCAAGGCTATTCTTAGCTTTAGCATTTGATTCCTATAATAATTATTTGTCTTATTGTTGTTCTTCTTACTCGTTCTGTTTGTCGTATTTATTTGTGTTGTTGTTCTTATCATCCATTGTTACCACAGATTTGCCTTTGGCTTCGTTTCGACCCTCACGACCTTCCTTCCTTCCTTTTTTCCTTCCTTCCTTCCTTCTCTTACTCGTTCCACGTTCAATTGTAACCTTTTTCGCATGGTGGCGTTATTGTTTTTAGCATTATTATGTGACAAAAATTGTAGCCGTTCTTTTTGCTAAATTAGTACTGTTATCATCGTTCTTGGTAGAAAACGTGGATAGATAGCTTGTGTATAAATTTTTCCTCTTCATTGTTATTATTTTCATGCCATATTACGGTGATTTGTTTCTATCTATTAGTATCGATATTATTAGTATTTCGAAGGTAATTGGTTAGTGGTAGTTAGTTGAATTGCTGTAAAAGTAAACTTTTTCTGTCAACTAATCCCGTGTTGTTGATGTGGTCACACAGTTACTGTGTTTGTTGCAACAATATTGTTCGATGACAAATATGTGATTACCATTGTTCCTGTTTTTGTCGTTTATGCTGCTGCTGCTGCTGTTGTTGCTGCTGCTGTTGTTGCTGCTGTTGTTGTTGTTATGATCTCGAGAAAATTGTTCTTATTGTTTTAGCGGGTAGTGTCTCGTAAAGGTCCAAGGTCGCTCTTCATAGTTCATTATTGGATGGTCACGTATCCCCCGCACCGACGCGGAAGCACTGCGGCATTATTTTAATACTGTACTACTCAAATATACGTACGTGCTTAGCATATATATATATA